TTACTAAAAAATATTTTTTGAGGCAAAAGAGAGAATTTGTTTTTCGGGGAAGAATTATTACGCATCACATTTTAAATTTTCCTTCTTAAACGACAGTTCAAAAATCCATCAAAGCAAATGCTACTTTGGGGTTTCCATTCACCAAGAGCTTTGACCTCCACTAACTGAAACGTGCGAATATGCAATATAAAATGGTGGAAGAGAGCTTCATTCATATGCACTGGGACCTATGTTATTGAATCTTTACTTTAAAGTCTTGCTTATGATGAACAAAGACACAGAAAGGAGACTAGAAACGGGCTGGGAACTGAAATACCGCTAAATGCTGCTAAGGGAGCTGCTCATACAGTTCGGGCTTTAAGGCTAAAATAACCCTGATCAGTCACAGATGATACCTATTTATATAAGCTAGTTACATGAACATCTCATGTACATGCCGTCTGAAAGAAAGAGAGACCACCACAGAACCTATGAAGGCTTGATACAGAAGTTTTAAAGAAGATCAAAATAAGTACATTTTAGTCCCAATGCTTAAAATGGTCCTTGACCACTTAACATTTATATAGTAGACACACCAAATGTGTCTGTTATAAATTATATTTTTAAAATACCAAAAAGCCCTTATAAGATAGTTTATTCTTTCTGGTAGCCATGTCAGACAACAATAATAGTAAAAGAATGTTAAGAAGACATCTGTTCCCAAACTTAACACTCAGAATAGTTAACGTTTAGGTTGATTTTTACTAGTTTTTAATATAAACGTATTTCAATAGTAATCTCATCAGATCTGTTTATATGATAGAAATTATTGCTGTATTTAGCTTTTATTGTTTAGAAAAATCCAGAAAGTAATGTTTCTTAATTTGGGATTATAGTAACAAGGAAAGCTATAGCCTTAAAATGTACTCACTATCAATGTGCAGATGTGAATCAGTGGTAGTATGCTTGCCTAGCATGTCTAGGGTCCTGGATTTGATCCCTAGCAGTGCCAAGAAACACAGTGTACCTAATATTTATATTATTAGAAATCAATGTTATAGGTAAAACTATCAATATCACATAGGATTTTATATGTACACATAAAATACATACATGTATGCATGTAATGTATATGGATAAATATTTAAATGTACACACACATCCACCAACTGGCCATTCAGTTACACATTGCTTATGGATAATTACCTGCCTATGGGCTATGACTTGTTTTAAGAGCTTGTCATTTCTTTCTTAGTCCACTAATTCCATGAGAGAGGAAATGTACTGCTGTGGAAAAAGTGTTGAGTCAGAAGCCTTACAGTATGACTATATTATCTGCCTTGTATTTTACAGTACTGCTGTGAAGGTTAAATGAGAGTTTTCATATTAAAGCATCAAAATTACCATCCTATCTGGGGTAGACTATTAATAGCGATTTAACCATCTTACGTCATTCTCCATTTGATGCCAAAGAACAGAAGTTTTGGTTTTCTTGAGCCTAAGATCACAATATTTGAAAATGTTTTCAATTAAAATTTACAATGTCTCTTTTCACATTAACATCATGATTATAGTTACTTGTAACAATGAACAGTATCCTGTGGGACATCTTTTCTGCATATTCCACTCAAATATGAATATTAGCTAGTATATGCTCACACAATAAAGCACATATTGCACATATTATCTTATAAACATTAAGAAGAAAACAGGCCAAACAATTCAAGCGTCGAGGTTGAATAAACCTACATTTTCATTCATTTATTTATGATAAATATTTCTAAGAATTACTTCTGAGAAATAGTTTCATAAAGTTCATTTAGGTTATTCATATCTCATACACACACAACAAAACAGCTTAAGTGCACAAAGGTTACATAGAACCTCTCATGAATTAAAGCCCCACACCCTCATTCTGCCTTTTTTATTTCTGTTACTAAAATATTTTTGCCATTCTTTTATATGTTGTAGAAAAGCAGGGGGCTAGGGTTGATCTTTAAGAGCAGTCTCCCTAGAATGCAGTGGTAATGACCACTGGTCAAAGGAACATGGAGCCAGGCCTTGACCCCCTTCAAAGGGTCATTTGGGTGTGAACCAATATGAGCATGTGGCCCTGTTCCATGTAATAGTTCTACCTTGAGGACAGGGAATATTCTAATTATTTTAAGTATGAAAAACCAAAATTACTGCATAGAAAAAAATATAGGGCATTGTTCATAGGGAGGTGGGCCACAGTAACACAGAGTATCTGGCATGTTTGGAGACTCTAGAATTCTGCTTTAAAAAGCACAAGGTAACACACTGTGCTATATTCTCACAAACCATGTGGGACAGGATTCCTGAACATTCTCAGAACTGCAGTTTCTGGCAGTTCTACCGAGGTAGACTTCTGTGCTTACATTGTGCCTTCTCTTCTTGGGCCCAAGCTCTTGTTCACTGGCTAACTGCATTCTTGCTTAAGGTGGTCATTACAGAGACAGCATTACTCTGACATAGTTACCCAACTCCTCCATGTGCTCTAGCTGTCTAGGTAACATAGAAAAACCTATCCAGACTATACAAAATTTTCCCTTAATAGGAAAGCATTCAGTTCCAGAAGAGTCTGTTAGAATTGAGGCTAATTATTACTGATTATTTACAGAGACGATGTAGCTCACTGTATTTTACTTGACATAAAATACTAGCGATACTAAAAAAAAATACTTAAAAGAGTCTTCTAAAATGCAATGTATCTGTTTAAAAGTAACAATACTTGGAAATAAAATAACAAGTTTCCATTTAAAAGACCAAGCCTAAGTTTCATCTTGACAGTGTGTTCCAAATCAGTGAACCTCAGCTAAAGGCTGAGGTCTAGGGGTCATATAAAGCAGAGGCCGTAGGCATCAAGAAGAATATGAACATTCTCACTGAATGCTGGGAAATGTCCCAACCAAAACTTGGCATAACAAACATGAGAAGAAGGGCACTTGATGCCACATCATTTAACATCAAAGGTTCCAAAGGTATTACAAACATGAGTCACACTAAAGGATGCTGCAAAAGACTCTCAGACAATATGTCCTGCTTTGTTAATGGTCCTGTGGACAGGTATAGGTATCCACTCAGGAGGATGATGGGGGACATTCCCAAATTGTGTGCTTCAGAAAGCCCGAACCTACCAATTACAGTGAAGATGCAGGACTTAAAATGAAAAAATATTAAGAACTACTTTTCTGAATTTTTTTCCAGGTAACATTCCAATAACATTTCATGATACACCCTAAACCTGGCTCTTTACTTAAAGCTCTCGTCTTCAATGGCTTTCCATCATCTCTCCCAGCAAACCTTGACTCAGTCCAGAAGATTGTGGAAAGGTAAGCTCAGTAAAATGCCCAAAGAAGGCAGCATTTTCTCTCATTTGGACTGCTTTATTGCTAGAAGAAGAAAGCTTTTTATCAGAAGTAATTCAAAGTAATTGTTGAATTGACTGAATGTAAGGCTGAATGGATAAACTGAGTGTTTCTGTGAATATTTTCCTTATTCCACATTGGACAAATTATTCATTCTCTCAACATAATTATCTATTAAACTTTAATCATCGCATTACTTCTGTACCTTGGACCTTAAGTGTTCCCTACTGGCCATGTGACAAATCTTGGTGCCCAGGATGGCACTGTTGGGACACCATAGGAAAGTGGAGGTGAAGTCTAGTGTGTTATGGAAGTGCAATCTGGTAGGAGACCTTTAATCACTGGGGGTGTAACATGGAAGAGGACGGTGCTCACAGGAACATGCACCCTTCTTTTCTCTCGTGTCCCAAACAGAGAGTGATTTTTATACCATCAGATGATTGCCACAATGTCCTCTGAATGTACAAATAAATCAACATGGCCAGTGGGTCTTGGGATGAAACTGCTAAGACTATGAGCGGCAGCAACCCTTTTCTTGAGCATTTGATGGTCTCAGGAGTTGATTACAAGAGCAGATAATTAACTAATGCAATAATGGTTATGTTTATAACCGTCTCCTTCACTTCACATGAACTGGAGGGTAATGATCAAATATAACTGCTTGTCTTAATCCTCAAGGCCATGCACTGCAGCAGAAAGGCACCAAGGGCTGCAGTTTCATCTAAGAGGACGGCAAGGAATCTGAGATCTGAGTTCCGTTTTCCTTACATATATTTGCAGGAAACAACAAAGCTGGGCAACAAAAAGTGCCCAAAACCCAAACCTAGCCAACCAAACAAAGCAGAATTTGATGGACAATGGTGAGTATACATGAGATCCGCTGTCTTAGCCAAAGAACAATTTTCACTGCTGCCATACAATTTTAATGAGGCAGACACAAAATAACAAATATCAAAATACACTGAGAATGGTCCCCTATCCTTAAAAATGCTCCTGCAGAATAATATAAACTGCAGGCCCTCACTCAACCTTATGAAATTTGGTTCTACAAGTAAGAATTTTATTCTGTTCATTACACTGGCAGAAAAATTCTTGGTGCTTACCATGGAGAATGAGTGACATCATATTTAGAAAATTACTTGAGGGAGCAAAATTAATAAGCAGGCAACTTGTGAATAGTAAAAGCTAAAGATTTCCTTTTAAGTGTTAAGCAAAATCAAACCCAGTTTCCAATTATAACGACAGCACTCCAAATATGTGAGGATCCCATCTGAAATCCTTGCCAAGCTGTGCTTCCCTGTGGAGGCTTTTCTTGAGTGTCATTCACACTCAGCCACTCAAAATGCAGAAGTGCTAAATTTAATTCTTAGGCAATTTAATTAAAAGTTACAAGATTTTCTTTCTCTTCTGTCTGAAAAAAACCCAACACCACAAACAAAAACAGAAAGCACCAACCCACAGAAATTCTAACTTTTTTTTACTACCTTTGTGCTGTACAGTCACGGGGCAGTGGATAAAACAAAGCAATGCAAGTTAGGGAGCTTTGTGAGAGACTGAGGCAGGCAGGGACTCCTGTTCTACAGGAGCGCTGCTCTGTGAGCAGAGAGCTGATGAGGCGGGCTGGTTACTCACTGGTTGGAGGAGGTAGATGAGAGATTCCTTTTGGATTATTATAATTGGCACAGCAGTGATGTGAGTGGCTTGGAAAAGGGTATTCACAGATGCCATGATCTGGTCAAAACGCCCACCGAGACCTCCCAAGGTCACGATCATGTCAACCTAAGCAAAGAAAGGCAAATTAGAAGTCACATATACGAAGAAAGCAAAACCATGAAATACTATCAACTGCCTGAATGGTGCTTTCAATACTATAATATTTGATAAGCGAAAGGAAAGTATTCATCAAGTCTGCTGCTCAAAAGAGAAAACAAGTTCCTGTTCGAGGTCACTGAGCTGGAAAATGGCAGAGCTGGGTGTCAAGATCTACTTGACGGTAAAGTTTCGTCTTTACCATGTGCCTGTTAATCTAGCAAATCAGCATGTTCCTTCCATGCAGACGGCTTCACTGATTTCTAATATGTCCATACAGTATGAGGTCATAGACCAGTCATGAAGCAGACAGGAAGCATTTAATTATGACATTGTGCAAAAACCTTCCATTCATTTTAAAACTTAATCATTAATTTATATAATAGCAGTTGCTTAAAAGGGGAGTAAATTATGGCTGTAGGTTTTAAAATATATTAAAATTTAGATAACATTCAGCCTGAAAAAGTGGCAGGATTTCAGAAAATTATCTATGACATCAACACTAATATAGCCTATTCAGTTCTGAGTGGAATTGTAAGTAAGAGCAGTCTGAGAGACTGTCCAGTGTTTTTAATTTATTTATGTAATTTATTTATTAATTTATTTTATTTACTGTTTCTAAGCTCTGGTACTTTGCATAGTGACTAACACCTATAAGATATTCAAGGCTCTGATAACTAAATAAAAATATTTTAGACCAACAGACCGATACACATATAAACACAGAGAGAGAGAGAGAGAGAGAGAGAGAGAGAGAGAGAGAGAGAGAGAGGAAGAGAGGAAGAGAGGAAGAGAGAGAGAGAAGGATCACTGAAAGGAGAAATAGATGCATCATAATTCTGTGGGTATATAAAATTAATAGTGGTATTCTATCAAAACATCAAAATGTAGATTGAATAGAAGAATGAAGAAATTTGGGGTGAGCTTCCCATTTCTATCATTAGTGTTGGGAGAATGGGGATTTAAATTTGGATAATATACATTATGTTATAGCTTGCAGTTTAAGACAGACAAAGCACACATTTATGGGACCCGGTAGTATTTAGAGTAAGAACTCTATACACCTTACAGTTACATTTTGGACTTAGGGAAATGTAGGAAGCAGGTATCCTTTGGACTGAAGGTATGAGTTCATCTTTTGAGGAAAGTATGCACTCATTGTAAGCAACCCAACCAACATGTAGACAGAGTCCACTTCTATAGGAAAATCAGTTAGGAAAACATATTCTACTTGTGCATTACAGCTCTTAGAGTGAAATCTACTGCAGTCCAGCTGAGTCAGAACTTTTTATGACTCCAGGAAAACTAATGTCAGTTTGTTTTAAACTGAAGAGAAATGTACCATCATATCCCCACCCTGTGCCTAAATTCACATAAGAAGCTAGGCCTGATGGAAGATTATTCACTGTGCAGATTCTTGAATCTTTTTCAGGTTCTCAACTTTTTCATTAATACACTCTAGGCCTTGAGGGATCCCATAACCTTTAAGGCTGGAATTTAATTCCCATCTTCTGCAATGGGATAGCACGATGAATAAGTAATATCTGTAAATCAGTCACTGAATTTTTCAGAAGCAGCAGCAAGATTCCTCCTCATCACTACTCACTTTCCCTGCAGGAAGTATTTAGCAAGGCTGATGAAAACCACCAGAGGAGTAGCGCAAGCTGCAGGTGGGTATACAGGGTCAGCTTCAGAACGCTTCTTAAGATCTGTTCTTCTACCTCTGAATGAACCATGATATTCAGATGGAGTAAGACAGATGCTGCCCTGATATATGTCTATAGGATTTGCAAGGTCAGATGCACATCTCTGTGACAATGCCAATGGTCAAGGAGTTCAATCTATAACAGGCCATATGTGGTCCATGAGAACAAGTTCATTTTGGATCTCCAAAACTCCATAATGTAACATTATCCAGTCATGTTTGTGAGAACCTTTGATATACATGCTTATCCCTCTGTCCAGAGGCCCATTAACCATGGTTAATTTGACAGTTTTTGCAATGGAGTAGTCCATGAGTATTTACTGAGGGAAGGACAGGAATAAAAGATACAAGAACTCAGAGAAAAACTATTGGTAAGAAACAGGGCTAAGAAGTCAACAAGCAGGCTGAATTAACATAATCAAATTCCTACACAATTGTGCTTCCATACTGGACAATGGCTTTTAGCTTATTTGTAGATTTTTAAGAAGCCGAATATGTGTGTGTGTGTGTGTGTGTGTGTGCACGCACGCGTGTGCGTGTGTGTACATGTGTATGTGTGTGGGTAGGTAAAGCACAGAGATGTCAGAAGTTGATGTTGGATGTCTTTCTGAATTATTCTCCACATTTCTTTTAATCTTCAAAAGATTTATTTATTTTATATGTATGAATGTTTTTCCTGCATTCCTATTTGTGCAACAAAGGCATGTCTGGTACCCACACAGATCGGAAGAAGGTGCTGGATCCCCTAGAACAGAAGTTAGGATGGCTATGAGCCCCCATGCAGGAACTGGGAATCAAATCTGGGTATTCTGAAAGAGCAAGTACTCTAACCTGCTGAAAAATGTTGCCAGCCTTTCCACATTAATTTTTGAGTCATGGTCTCACATTAAACTCAAATTTTGGCTAGGCTGGTTTGCCAAGGATCCATCTATTTTTGTAAGCCCCCAACCCTGCTCACGCCTGGGGGCCTACCACACTGCCTAGTTTTTACATGACTACTGTTAACCTCAAATCAGTTCCATATGCTTACAGAGGGAGCATTTTACTCAATGAGCTCTACAGCAAAATATTTAGTGGTATTTTGTAAACATTAACATGTTGTTTTTATTACCTCATATATATACAATTTATGTATTTATGTTTCATTAATAAAGAAATGTCAAACAAAAAGACAAAGATATTTATTATTCATACAACACTTGTTAGGAACTGTCCCAAGCATGCAAGAATGTCAAGCTCCTTCCTTTATTGGGGTAACATTGAAATGGCAGATAAGCACACCACAGAGGTTTGAGAAGTGTGTTAGCTACAATGTGGCAAATGGTAATGGACTGAGAAATGCATCTAAACCCACTGCACCAGGAGTTGCTTTATATAGGTGAGCGGGGCAGACTACATTCAGAATGAGGCTGCAGCACGGACCCCAAGGACAGGGAAGAGGTTGCCACAGTTGAATGGTGGGTGTAGCTTCTGAGAACAGCCTGCAGTAAGGCTCCAGAGGATATATTTACCCAGGCATTTTCAAAAAGTTTCCAGTGCCCATTTGCCAGATCTGAATGAGAAATCAGTAAGCAGCAGTAAAGAAAATCACTACAGTCTGAGTGTCAGATGTGGTTACTTCCAGGTTTGTATATCCAGCTGCTTACTTAGCAGCCATCTCCATATCCGTTCCACAAGCAACTGCTTCAGACAAATCCCACAGAATAATGCTGAGGCATACCACACAATTCCTTATTTATCTCCCCTATAGTATCAGGACCAAGCCACCAATGCTTAAGAGGGAATGTGGGCAACCTCTATTTTTTCCCATGAATTGTAATAGCCTCTCACAGTTACTGCTTCTATCTGTACTGTGTACAATCTACCTTAATAGCGTAACAAAAAGCATCAAGCTAAAATGTCAATCTTATCATGACATTCTTCTACTCAAAACTATCCCACAGATTTACAGTGATTGTAACAAGTGCTTACAAATGCTTGCAGGATTTGCTCTCTGGCCATTTCTGTGATCTTACCCACACCCTCTTTCCAGCTTCTTCTCTACTCCAGGAATATTTCCCTTGTCTCTCTTACTGCTTACACATCACACCTTCCTATTTCAAATACTTTGCACTTGCAACTATTTTCTAGAGCAATTATTACTAGATACTTATTTGATGGCTTTACTACCTTTACTTCATATTTTTATAACTCTCGCACTTCTCATAATACAACGCAATGCTAAACAGTTTAATGACATAGTATGTTCTGTGGTCATTGCCAGAAATAGACTACCCTTAACATAAAGGCAGAGTCTTTCTATCTCTAGGACTTAGAATACATTGTCATACACAAGCAGCCAGTGCGTGTTCACTGAACAGACGGATGAGTGAAACAAAAAGAGAACAGCAGTAGAAGAGCTCATCAGATGTAAGTGCTGGAGGGAAGGAAGAATGGGACCAGGGCACAAGTGGAGATGGATAAAACAGGGATTATGGGGAGTTTTCAAAGGTGTTATAAACACAGTTAAGGTATATACATGTGAACAAACCTGAGTCGGTGTGGTAAGAAGATAAAGGAGGGTTCAGGGAAAACAGATGCAGGTACAATGGGAGGTGCATTTGAAATACATGGAATATCCCATGCTTACACAGTATTGTTGACAAATATTATTGACAAAAGGGTTGGTAAATGAGAGGTTAACGTCACTAATGCTTAGCAATGGGAAGTAAGAGAGATTGTCTAATCATAATTCTCTATTGCTTAAAATTTAAGTTTCTTATTACTGGTTTGTATGTTGTGTCATGTAATTATATGTTTGTAATCACATCTATACACATGCCAGCAAACAGTGTGCTCTCCTTTTTAACACAGTGAATATGAAAAAAGAAAACAATCCTGACTGATTTACATGCACCTCTTATCCTCAGGTCACGGTCATTTACACAGATCTTCTTAGTTGGCAAGGTGTGGTGGTAATAAAAGGTATCTTTGGCTTTTCAATGGTCGTTACATCTAGCAAAAACCTATCTCAGAATCCTGTGTTAGTGACGTCAGTGAGCCACCTACAGCATCGATATCTGAATAGCCAGCTAACAGCAGTTTGGGCATTAGCTGAGGCTCTAAACTAAATTTACTAGCATGTTATTCAAGATTCTTTTCACTTCTTTCCCCTTGTAGTGTTCTCATTTTCTAACATCGTAAGTTAAACAGTAGTGGAAACTTTTCTTTTGAAAAATGAGTGAAAACTGGCCTCTGCTTTAAATGTCTCAACAAAGCCATGGCA